ATTTGTTTATCTGACCGCAGGCGCGTAGCCAGGGGCTGGGGGGATAGAAAAAAAATAGAAAGGAGAGGAAAGGAAGAGGACGTAGGGAGAAAAAGGAGCAGACAAAAAACATCTTTGAAATTCAGACAAGAATTAAGAGTATAGAGAACGGTACAACGAATCGTCTTCTATCTCTAATAATTTAATGAAACGTCAAAGCTTCCGCGATTCGCGGAGGGGGGGGGGGACTGAATTAAGACAAGGATTAAGAGTATAGAGAACGGTACAACGAATCGTCTTCTATCTCTAATAATTTAATGAAACGTCAAAGCTTCCGCGCTTCGCGGAGGGGGGGGCTGAATTAAGACAAGGATTAAGAGTCGAGAACGATACAACGAATCGTTTTCTTTCTCCAATGATTTAATAAAACGTCAAAGCTTCCGCGCTTCGCGCGAGAGGGGGGGGGGGGGGGGGGGGGGGGGGCTGAATTAAGACAAGGATTAAGAGTCGAGAACGGTACAACGAATCGTTTTCTTTCGTCAATGATTTAATGAAACGTAAAAGTTTTCGCGCTTGGCGCGGGAGGGGAAAATTGCATTCAAACGAGGATAATTTTCGAGAACGCTATAACGAATCGTCTTCTTTCAATAATAGTTTAATGAAACGTCAAAGCTTCCGCGCTGCGCGGAGGGGGGGGGGGCTAAATTAAGAGAAGGATTAAGAGTCGAGAACGGTACAACGAATTGTCTTCTTTCTCTAATACTTTAATGAAACGTCATATATAGCTTCCGCGCTTTGCAGAGGAGGGAGGGGGAAACTCGCCCCTCCCTACATCCCCCTGCATTACGTCACTGCTGGTCACCATTACGTACCAATATTTGGCTCGCATAATTTCAAATTTGGGCCCCCCCCCCTAAGAAATCCTGGATCCGCGCCTGGCTATGATACAAACATTTATTTTGGGTGTGTATGAACATCACTCAATTTTGTTTCCTTTCCAAACACAATGCTAATCTTTTAATACATGTAGTACCTCATTTCTTCAGGGACAAACATTTTCTTGGATATGATTATAAGGGTTTGTAACCCTCTCGCGTCCAAACAATAATAAAACACTGAACATTTTCAAAAGGGGCTGATTGATTAATGTATTTTATTGGCCTTTTCCCTCTTTCCCTTTTTCATAATCTTTTTCTTTTACCAGTTTAATATTAACATATTGATGATTTGGTTGAAGATAAATATTATAATGAGCATATCAATACGCTTTTTAAAAAGTGCAAACAGTATGAGAGGGATTTTAAATCGAGTATTAAGATATTTTGTTAACCATAACCATAAAAACATACAACAATAAACAAAAAATACAGGATAGAATATGCAAAGATCCAGTAGATGAGCAATATTCTTGCGAGAATAAAAGATTAACAAATAGAATGTAAATACAAAATCAAATTAATCAATAATAGAAACGAAATGACAAAATATAAAAATCTAGGATTTGAGCGATTTTATTTGTATTGTATGGTGTGTTTTTGTTTTTGTTATTTCTTTCTTTCATTCTTTTTTCTCTCTCCCTTTCTTCCTTCCTTTTTTTTTGGCGAGGGGGGGGGGGGTTTAGGATCGACTGACCCATGTGCAACGGCTGTTCACATGGAACCCTTCTCCACACTCGGCCCTCAAGGATCTCGCTTGACTGGTAGGTTGATGTGTTTTTTTTAATTGGTGGTGTTATATCAATATCGATTTAGAGATACCATATAGATAAATTAAGTATAGTATTATCTAGATTCTAGAAGATTTTTGTATTTTTATAAGAAGACGAAAAACGAGGAAGCTGAAGGCTGTAGGTGATTTGTTCACTTTATATGTAAGGAGCATGAAAGCATGAACGTCATGCGAGCAGAGCCAGCTCGTTTGGAAGAAGAAGCTAATTAGAATTTGGCTATGTCACGTCAGTTTAGCGGAAAAGCGATAGATACATGTTGGAAATCGGATTCATTAGCAGTGCGCTATCTTTTCATACATATGACGGTGATACTCTGTACAGACAGCAGACATTTTCAGAATTGTACCACCTCCCTAGTTTTTAGAAAAGGATGAAGAAATAGATCAGTCCCTGGAACGGCATTTAATGATTCTAAATAAAGATGAACTTGAACACTGTCGTAATGATATGACATACCGTATCATCCTGCTCGTTGGATTACTAACATTCTGTAGTGTCATGAGGGGCTTTATTCTGTAATTGATATCCGGTGTTTTCTTTATCCTGGATAATTCCCTCGTCGTTCCCGTTGTTCCTTCCCTTTCGTAAACATTTATGCATTCTAAATCATACTTACGAAATAATGTGTAGTTTCATGGTACGTCTGTAATATCGGATGTCATACACCGACAAAACTGAACAGAGAAAAAATAGATGGATAACACAATGATAAAGATAAACTTTGCCATAACTAGGTTGTGTTAATATCCCCTCCCCCTTTATTTCCCAGTTCTCCTCTTTATCTTCCTCTTCCACTCTTCTTCTCAAGTTCTTCCTCATTCCCATCTCTCTTTCTGTATACAGTATTCAGTATTTACATGTTCTTCCCCACCCCTCCATCTACAACCTCCCCTTTTCTTTCCCACACTCTCCCCCCTCCCTCTCTCTTTCTCTCGATCTATCTATCTATCTATCTATCTATGTCTCTCTCTCTATACCTCTCTCTCTCACTCCTCAATCCCTCCCTCCCTCCCTCTGTCATTGCTCTCATCAAGTCTTTATTCCCTCTTGCGCTATATATAACATTTTTTTCTCCAATAACAAGAAATCCCAATCTCTCATTGCAACAAATCATGCTGGCGACATACACGCAAGTCATATGACAAACATTTGAAATCGAGACATAAACAGTAAATGAATCTTCTTCTTTTTCCCCCAATTACCTTGACGTACATGCAATCATTTGCTACTTCTCTCTCATCTATTCATCCTTCTTTCTCTCTCATACTCTCTATCTTCATCATTCGAGAGGAGATTGAACCAATAACGAGTCCATTAGCCCATAATACCTCCAAGACGATCATCATGATGATTTTCATGAATAAAGCAATTATCTATTACCTTACTGTAAAAGGTTTAGCTTTGGGAGGGTAAAAATGGGCAGAAAACGAAGTAGGGAATAGATGACCACAATCAGTCATGTAGCGTTGGTCAACTCATATCATTTAGGCGGCACTGGGTTTCAAAATGAAAAAGGGACCGCTTTCCAGTATTTTCCTTGTTCCTTTCTCCCTCCCTCCCTCCCCCTCCCTCTCCCTTCTCTCTCTCTCTCTCCTCTCTCTCTCTCTCTCTCTCTCTCTCTCTCTCTCTTTATTCTGCCTCTAAATTTGTATAGTATTTTCTTCATATAGAAGACTTTTCTAAACCCAATTCATCCTGTACATTCCCCCAATTTCCTGCCATCACTTGTTTCTTTCCATCTTCCCGAAGTAGAACAATGGATCATTAAAAACCCCATCAGTTGATTACATGAAAGATGAGGACCATCAAGAAAGACAATCATCTAATACCTCTTCGTGATAATAAAAGGTATTAGTATTCTGGAGAGGACGGAATACCAGGGCGTATCAAAAGATTTTTTTTTTAAAGTTGACATCTTTTTTAATCAAATTGCGATGATGATAATTGTGATCAAATTACTGATCATGATTACATTGATAGTTTGATTTATAGAGGCCTATTATGATGAGGATAAAAGGCGCTGAGCTATTTCATTATCGGGGCTTTAGCTGAGCTATCCTGATATATAAGACGCTATTAAGCTTTAAGAGAATTTCTTCCTCACCATTTTACTTCACCAGGGTGGAGAGTGGAAATTTTTACATCAATGTCTTGCCAAAGGAAGCCTTATTGCCATGGCAGGGATTCGAACATCGTACCCTGTGGATCACATTTCGGTGATTTTCCACTAGACCATCAAACTTTTGTGATAAGGAAGCTAGGACCAAGAAGTTACTAGTCTTTATTGTCCGCTGCACACGAGGCGTCCATAGCCTGACGTAGGACTGCGTCAGGGACTAGTGCGGACTTTTGACGCACCACGAAAATATTAAAAGTGAGAGTAAAACGATTTGTGTAAACAATGCGTCGCAGGGCTCCCGGCCTGTTGGTCCATTGCCTCAACAGAGTTTATTAGCGCAGGGAATAACGCAGTATAAATGACGCCTCGTTTGCATGCAACTGGAAATATCATCCCTGGCAAAGACCAAGAATCTTGCAAAGACCAACTAATGTCATTATGTCAGTCATGAAGGATATTTGGCATACCTCTTGACCTCTTGTGGGCGCATGCCATGATTGACGAGAACGACCCCGACCGATATAGACCTGAACGATAACGTCGTAACGATGTAGCCGTGCATCCATGGTCGAACGGAACACGTTCATTATCACAATACAAACATTGCTATCATTGCAGAGAGTTTTGAGGTATGATATGACATTTTCTTTAGAAGGATGCGGCGGAGTGTAGTAAAATAATCAAGCGGACATCTGCGTTTCCAGAAATTTATCAACGGGAAAGAGCGGAGGGGGCGTTTCAATAGAAGTACTCATGATAATCTTGAAATCTGAGACAACACTGAAGCTCCACTTCAAAAGACCAGTTTAAATCTCCTTTTTTTTTTCCTTTTTTTTTTTTTTTTTTTTTTTGGGGGGGGGGGGGTAATTCTTAGAGAGTCATCATAATTAAAACCACTCACCCCCTTTCTTTCTCACTCTCTCTCTCCCTATCTCTCTCTCTCTCTCTCTCTCTCTCTCTCACCCTCTCTCTCTCTCACCCGCCCCTATATTTCTTGCTCTCCCATTCTCTTCATTTTTATATATAACAATGTTTTCCGATATTCTCCTTCATTCTTTCATCACTCAGTCAATGTCAATGTTTACTTCCTTCTAGCCACCCCGCCCCCTCCCCCTAATCCCTCTTCAATCTTGCGTTCATCAAGACAGCGTTCTTAACCGTGAGTACATCACGGGTGATCACTCTGGTGTAGAAGGCCGCGTTGTTAACTATACTGAGGAAATGAAGGGATGGAGATAGTTGTTAATAGGATAAGGGGCCCGCATCCGGAGCACTAGCCCCTGCAAACAGACAGCTTTGCACTAATTACTTACATCATATCTCATTAAGACTTTTCCAGTCGCTCTCTCAGCGTATTTTGTCTAGTAGTATACACGCTTCAGTTGTAATTACACCCAGCACAAACTTACGGAATAACTACACACGCTCCTGTCGACCAGACGACCGATAGGTATGTACATCGTAATGTTTTCCCGCCTTATCATTTGGATATTTTGACTTGTGGTCGTGACGGTGTTAACCATTAACCGACTATATGCCTTATGGTCTTTTATTCATGATAGTATATGTTTTCGCAGAATAGCTTTAAATAAAGTCATGCTAGAGCTTATTGTTTATTGTCTTGCATTCGTGAATGTTAAAGGAAATATGAACATATATAAAGCCGAACTCATACAATTTAAGTTTTCGTTTCGGTTTGTTGTGTTTATATTGTTTGATATCGGCTTTCGTCTATTCTTGCATTTTTCTCTTATGAGCGCAAAACAAATAGTTTCAACGACCAGCATGTCTCTATTAAGTCTTCGATTTTAATCTTTCAAACCTCAAATTAATGGTAGTTATATAATTTGTCTGAAAGTAAATTATATTCCCTTCTTTATTCAAATTGCGTGTGTTTATTATACATATACCATAAATAATGACTAAATGTAAAGCTGAACAATTCAGATTATTTAAAACAATCTCATTACATCTAACATTTGATTCAAATCGTATACGCTGTTTGCAATCATTTGTAAATATTGTAAGTGATAGAATTATTAAAAAAAACGTCTTTAATGTTTATGAATACATTTTTTCCAAAATAATACCATAAACCTCTTCTTAGTTCTTATACACTTAATAAAAAACAAATTCATGACTATGCTATTTATGACAACGAATTAAACGCAGGCTTAAATAATTACGACACTTCATAACGAAGGTCAAACATTGTATCTTTGGTAATAATGACTCATTATTATGCGCTGTCTACCATAGTCGACAGGTGAAGAATAAACACAAAAGTAGACCTTCGATCACGATGTCTCTATTTTTGTATTCGTCAAGGTTAGCTCTGAGTGATTTCATTAGACAAATGTCAAACTTTCTTCATGGAAGAATACAAAATTCTTATGGAAATTACTTGAGAAATTATAGGAATGAATATAATGTAGTAAAATGGCTTTATTTCTTATTTTCTTTGGTATTTGATGGCATTTGCATATGTTAATTCTTTTACATAAAAGCCATTACATGTATAAGTTCGATTCAATTGTAGTTTTTCCAAATGTTATTGCCTAAAACAGTATCTTAAATCAGGTTGCTGTATATGACCATGTAATAGTCTATTAATTGAGACAATTACCACAAACTATACTCTGCTTGGTTATGACAGCAGTGAACCAATTACAATAATTGATAACGAAATTAGGAAATACAAACTGCCCTAGCACCTGCTGAGATCTAGAAGGGCGTTAACTACTATTAATTTACGAAGGCCTACCCTTCTGGCTTTCATATTATTAGGTTAAGGTTTGTTGATTGCTTTCGTGAGATTTCTCTTATTCCCTTCCCTTGCACATATACGGCAAGAACATATTGATAGGTATCGTACGTAATACACACATCTACAATTTTGTATAAATATAATCATATATATGGTTTGGTTTTAATTATCTCATCTAAAAATAGTAAGTTGGTACTTCAGTTTGCCACGAAGTATTTAGATCTGCATATCAACGATTTTTTTCCTTCTCCTTACGTCTAATATTTAAAGGGAATTCTTTTGATTAATATCATGAAACAGATTCTGAAACGGTGATACATATTATTCTATATACGCCTGTATACGTTCTGAAAAGAGCCTATCGGTTGAGCAATTTATTGTTGATAAACATCATCTGAAGAACAGGGGTGTAATAACGGGAAGCAGTACACCCACTGTATAACCAGCTGGCGACTAGCTTTCTAACGTCCCTGGGGAAACAGAGAGGGTAGAAGGAGGACCCCTGTCGTTTCGTCTCTGCCTCTGCCCCCCTCTCTACCCGTCTCTCGGTTCCCTGTCTTTGTTATATTTCTCTGTCTTTAGCTGTCTCTGTTTCTGTTTATTGTGTCTCTTTCTCTGGTTCCTATTTTCTCTATTTTTTTCTGTTCTGTCGCCCCCCCCCCCCCCCTCCTCTCCCACTTTCTCTCTTTCCATCTACTGTCAAGCGACATTTAGGTGCCCGGGGGACTGGTGGTCATCTCCTGCTCCAAGTATGTCAAGTATACTTAAGCTCTCTTTTAAGTTTTTCACTTTGCGCCCCCCCCCCCACATTGCCCTCTCTCAGCCCCCCCCCCCCCCCCCCCCCCCCCACTGTTGCCAAAGAACTTATTATTTTGTATTACGTATGTATCCCATCTTTACATGATTGTGTACCATATTTCTCTGTTGGCCTAACCCTTAATATTCTATTAACCCCTTTACTGATTTCGTCTCGAATGCTTCAGTAAAGAAGATGTATACATACTAGTTCCTAGTCAATTGCCTGTTCTAGGCTTGCATATTCACATTCTACATGTACATGTGAGGCTTGATTGTAAAAATAATAGCTAGCCGGGTATTATTTTAAGTGTCCGCCTCAGTAGTTTATTAACACCCTCATACTGTCTTATATTTTTAGAGCGTCATTAATTGCGTTTGTAAAGTGTTTAACTCTTATCCCTCCTAAAATTCTCTTTGTTTTTGTTTCGTTTTTTGTTTTGTTCTTTACACCGTGGTCTTGCTGTTGAATTTATTTATTTCCCAAATCCTGACGTAGGCCTATTAGCCCCAAAATATGTATTTGATATCTGACTTATACTGTAATTGTTTTTGCCTGAATGAACCCTGTCATACGTGCGACTGCGTCAGCAACCGTGGTGGTCATTGACGCACCATGTCTAGTAAATGCAAAGTAAACAGTGCAAACACTGTGTTGGATTATTGGCCCATGGAGGCCTACTACTTTCCCGCTTTTATTAGCGTAAGTATTAACGCAGTCGATATGACGCTCCGTGTGCAATGTATGGGCATTAATTAGCCTTCATACTACATGTAAAAGACATTGTACGTGACAAACTATACGGTCTCTCACCATAATGCGTATTAACGCATTATCTACCATGACAACTCAATCATACTACGTGTGTTATTAATCATACTTCGCACATTGATAGTGACAATCCCATCAAGTTAGTTTCGCATGGGATAACCATGCACATGTCAGATTGCTTTCAATATCCAAGCTCAAGTCCTCGAACATTGACGGGACAGCAACCTATATAAATCATATAGCCACATTTCATTTCCGAAAAGGAAATGTATCTGACATTTTAAATTGGAAGAAGTGTTGTGTTGTCCAATGTACTTTTTTGATGATTTAGGTGCCGGACACTTCCTGGTGCCTAGTTTTGATATTGGTTTGCGATGGGATACAGGCCAGGGGCGGATTCAGGATTCTGTAAAGAGAAGGGGCATGATTTTTTTTTAAATGAAACTAAGAGAAAAGGAATATCATCGAGTTTATTAGGGTTGCTTATTTACTCCAGAAATGTCTAACAAGGAAAAGAAAACACAAATTACATTACTTATCATAAGCCACTTTGGAGTTGTTTAAAGCTAACTAAGGGGCAATATAGAACGGGGGGGGGGGGTAATCTCATTTCTTTGTTGTTAAACTGAAAACGAAGTATTAAACTGTTGACTTAATATTCTCTGTGATACGAGCATTAATTCTATAGGCCTATTAAATATTGATTTCCAAAGCCTGAGACAGCGCCGTTAACTTTGAAACACTTGAGGGTAGTGCCCCATGGACACTGTTTCATTCTACCAAATCCCCACAAGTTCAACTACCAAAGACCTCAATTACCTATTACTCTCATGACCTTAAACCTTCGGTTCCTTGTTTGGCTGATGTACACAACTTTAAGGATTAGAGCAGACAGGGTCGTGACACCGGGAGCGCAGTTCGTCAAGATTCACTTCCAAATCCAGTACATAGATGCGATCTCATGCACAGCTTATAGTATAGGAAGCATTGTTTCAACTGAGACTTTATATCCCTGGCGTAGCTGCAAGCTTTCTCCATGTAAACTGCACATATTGCTGACTTTTCTGTTGAGTAACGCCTGTATTTTGATGACTGATGATCGGGTGTTTAGTCGGAATAGAATACCGGTAAGTTTTTGTTGCTGCACAAGTATCATGTACGATGGCATGATGATCTTTTTAAGTATGGTGCCAAGAAGTCTGCGAAGAGTGTTGATATTACATGCAGGTAGGCTATAAACATTGATCTTGGTACAAAAATAACTACGGGTACTAAATAACCAACCTCTTCTATATAATATGATCGTTATCATCACAATCGGATCATTACATGGTACGTTCGAATTCACGTATACTTTCAAATGATCATCACGATAACCTTTTGCCTTTTAACTCCATGCATAGTAATTGCAAATCAAGCGTGCTGCTAGCTTTGAACGATTATAATTTGCATGAAACACTTTTACGACACCATTATGACAACCTTTATGATTCTTATTTCGTTGATTTGAAATGAGATGTTTTGTAGACGAGGGAATGATAAGATGACCTACGAAAAGTAACCAAGTTAGAATATTTCTATTTTCTTATGAGTTGTGCTAACATATAGATGCATTGAGTATTTTTGTAACCATATCTTAGAACATAATATATTCGTTACCGAGTCAGACTAATGAGTTTCAACCGTGTTTATCAACACGTCTGTGAATTTTTCCTGCCATGAAATGTTACTAATGAACTGAGTTACTTCTGTGAAATGAAATTAGAACGATTTGAATACACGACACCAAAATAAGCTGTGCTGTAAACAACCTTGAATTTGTAAAAATAAGTCACTAACATGAATTCAAATCAAAGTAGTCAGCGATGTTGTGAAGTTTGGTAAATTTGGGTTGTTTAATCAATTTCCTGCTCTAGATACCTTAGGGGCGTCGACAGGGGGGGGGGGGCGGGGTCGATTATGGATATGACACCCCCACATTCATGACATTCATATTTTACCATCAGCAAATCTGCAGTTTTTAGCTGTTGGCACTGCGTGTTTTATTAACTGCAATATTTTCCTTGTTCGAAGAAAGTCAGGAGCTCTGTCGGTAAAATCTAGAAATCTCTGACAA